CCCGTCGGTGGCTCTAGGGATGGGATCAAAGCGAGAATTCGCAACAGATCAGATAGCTGGACTCCATTCAGCGGGTTCCCAGGAAAAACATGAGTATGACATTGACAAGCAGGAGGACTACAATCACAGCAAAAACGACTACAGTTTGCACATCCAGGGTCATGGTGCAATGCAGAACACTGTAGTGTTCCAGGTGGGGGGCCGGCAGATTGGGAGATGTCAGTCTCTGTTCTGTAAGACTGTCCATACAGCCACCATGCTAAAAAGGAGAGGAGGAAGTCGGGTGATTAGGGAAGGGCTGGGTTTGGCGCCCAAGTTTGGTGGGGGAGGGGAAGGGGAATGGGAGCAGGGACGCTTGCTTTCCCCTCCCTCTTAGGATTGGGCTGGTCTTTCTTAACTAATTGAGAAATCTTAGCTTGCGCTGAAGTCGGCAGAGTCCAGCATTCTCTCTCAGGGGCCACGGAAAAGGTAAAATCCTGGCTTTAAAAGGGAAAGGCAGGAGGGAACCTGTGGGAGGTTCTCTGGCGCCTGCTCAGTCTGTCTGTCCGGGCGTTTGTCCGTCAGCCTGCCTGGCTACGGGTCAGTCTCGGTCTCCCCTACTCCCTCTAGTTCGCTTGCTCTCTTTGGTCCTTCGCTTGTTCGCTTTGTTCGCTCTCTCCGCTGGGATGCCGGCTACCAGCCGCTTTCTGGTGCAATGCTTGGCTCGCCTTCTCTCTTTTTTACCCCCACCCACAGTCCGCAAACTGTCTTTTAATTTGCCCTTCGACTGTGAGCGCCTGCGTGAAGGGAAGGCCAAACCGCTGACGGGTCCATTCGCCAATAGCAGGTGCCGATTTGGTGCGACAGCTCACCTGGGGTGGGAGTTAGTCTGACTTGCAAGCTGGGGCAGCCAATCAGAGGTCCTAAGGCTCCCTGAGCAAGGCTCCCTCCATCCAGGCCTAAAGTGAGTCTAGGCCACCAGTTTTGCGTGGTGGGCAGAGAGATTGTTGGGAGTGATGGATGAGACTGTACTGAGAGAGGGAAGTCTAGGAGAGGAAGGAGAGAAGAGGGGACTGAAAGGAGTGGAGAAGGAGGGGGGAAAAGACTAAGATGAAGGCCAGTGGAACCGAAGGATGAAACAGAAAAGAGGTGAATCTATGACAAATGTCATCATTCATCATTACATGCCAAAAATCTAGCCCAGACAGAGCCCATGGCCTTAATGACTATATTCTTTTTTTTTTTTTAATGCTTTATTGTGAATTATGTGATAGCTTACATGGGAAGACATCAGCTTCACATTGATCCCATTGTATATCCTTTCCTTGCCATGATTACAATCCCTTCCATGCATCATCCATCAAACAAAGGGTATACACCTCAAGCTTGCCCCCTCCCCCCCACACCCCCACCCCAGTTGTCTGCATACCACCCCTCTCTCTCTCCAGGTCCAAAGTCTCCAGCCCCTCCATCTCCCCATGTCATCCTCTCTGCCTCCATCCCTGGCATCACTGCTTCTCTGGGGAGGGTTCCATTGTACATTCTTCTCCTTTGATGGTCCCAGGGAACTCCACTCCTAGACTGCAAGGATAATCACTGCCCTCTCTTTGCCCCAAAACATCTACCTACCTTTACATTTCCAGCCCTTACAATCAGTCCTGATGACAATTAATCACTATTGTATCACAAGAGACCTATCTGCATCTCCTTTCATCAGACCCCAAAGAGGCAGAATGGATACTACTGAGTGGAGATTCTACCTTGTTCCACACCCTCTGGATCTAGGTTCCCTCTTGAAAGGTTGTAAGCCAGTCACTTCTTGCCTCTGTAGCAACCCCCGCCCCCCGCCACCATTTTGGGTATCCAATGTCCAAGTTGCCCATCCGTGTCCTCTCCGTGTGTGGAGGAGGTGGTAATGATTCTTGCTGTGAAGATTTGGCCCCTCTTTTGAACTACTACTTCCATAGGTGTATGTCAAGATCATCAAATTGCATCAGATTATTCTTGCTTCCCTCTTCTTTCTTTTTCTGGTTGAGCTCTGATCATCCAGCCATTGAAGCCAGGTCAAGTGGGTATTATCTGCAAGTGTGGGTGTACTTATGCATGTGCCCTCACTTCTTATCAGCTGGACGCTTCACTCTCAACTCTAGTACGCTGTGGCTATGTCACTGAATCTGGGTCCAAAAGTCCCCTGGACTTGGCACACTGCTGGCCAACCAGGTCTCCATCTGGGTTCACAGGGGTCTATTGAGCATTGTAGGGCTTAGCTCTGAGCTTCATTGCTGTTTTTCCCTCATTTCCCCATATCAGTGACAAACGTGGTCACCAATCAGAGCATGCATTCCCATTGAACCTTAGTCTTAGAAGGGGGTTTACCCTGAGGTAGACCCGACCACTTTCCTTGATGTCTTCTGAGTGAGCCACTTGTTTGTTCCTGTAGTTATCAGTCAACCTGCCTATATTGTTTTATATTTTTACTGTAAGTCTTTGTTTCAAGAAGTATCTTCTGTTCTTCTGGCCACTCCAGGATGGTCTGCTTGTCCTTTCAAGTGGGAATTTCCCCTCAGAAGATTCTGGATGCTGTTTAGGATTCCATCTATGGTCATGTGTAATGCAGAGCCTCCGCAGGAAGCCTCCTTTGCTGGGCACGTTGTAGCCTCATTTTAGGTATTCCAATCAGTTATAGGCAGAAGACAGACTTACAAGCTTTCTATGGTGGTATTTCTGGCCATTCCTTTCTCTCCCCCTCCAGTGTCTATTTTAGAGTGGTATGCCAAGGAAAACAAGATTCAACAGACAGCCAAGCATCTTAACATTATTTCCCCCGTTACCTCCCATTCAAACCATGTCTCAATCTCTGTATCCCAGAGCCCTGTTGTTCCAAGGTTTTGCATACATCATTATTTGCCTGTGTGCCACTTCAGCTTCATATTCATCCTATCATATTTCATTTCATTGCAATGATTAAAATCCCCTCCATGCATCATCAAATAACCAAAGGATATACCCCACAGGCTGTCAGCAAGCAGCGCCTCTCCCTCCCTGAGTCCCATGTCCCCATCCACACCATCTGTCCATGCCTTCATAGTCCCCCCACCATTTTGGGTCTGGGCAGTTTACAGCCCTCCCCCCCCCCACAAGGTATTCCAGTTAGTTGTAGGCTGGATCCGGGCCCACATTTTTTCTGTTGTGATGTTTCTGGCCGTACCCCCACCCCCAAGTGTCTATTTCACAATAGTAAGCAACGGAGACCAAGATTGAAAAGACAGCCAAGCATCCTAACATTATTCCCCTCTTTTCCCCATTTAAAGCCATACATCAATCCCTGTGTCCTGAAGCCCTGTTATTCCAGTGTTGTGCAAACCTCGTCATTTACCTCTGTCTCACCTAGCCTATGCAAACCTGCCCAACCATTCTTCCATCTGCCTTGTTCTTCTTTTTCCCCTCCCCCTTCATGTGTATTGCCAGCCCTCTCCCCTGCTCTGCTCCCTGGCTCTTCTGTGTCTATTCCCTACCCTGTGCTCTTTCTACCTCCCTCCCCACCTCTCATCCCATACATACTGGTGATCATCACTTTTATATATATAGATTTCCCCCCCTTTTGGGTGGGTTATTTTTCTTAGTCATTTTCAATAATGGTCTTATGCAGTATTTCTCCTTTTGTGACTAATTTCACTCAGCATAATGTCCTCAAGTTTCATCCATGTTATACAATGGCTTACACCTTCCTTGCTGTTATTCCATTGTGTGTATGTACCACAGTTTGTTTATACATTCTTCAATTGATGGGCATTTTGGTTGTCTCCATTTTTTTACTATTGTAAATAGTGCTGCTATGAACATTGGTGTGCATATATCTACTGTTATTATGGCTCATATTTCTTGTGGGTAAATGCCAAGTGGAGGAATTGCTGGGTCATACGGTATTTCTATTTCCAACCATCCGAAGAAGTGCCATATTGCTTTCCAGAGTTGTTGGACCATTTTGCATTCCCATCAACAATGTAGGAGGTTCCCAGTCTTTCCACATCCTCTCCAGCATTTGTTGTCGTCTGCTTTTTTTAATCTTTGCTGTTATTGCCGGTGTGAGATGATATCTCTTTGTTTTGATGTGCATTTCTCTGATGGCTAGTGATCGTGAACATTTCTTCATATGTTTGTTGCCTGCCTGATCTCTTCCTTGGTGAAGTGTCTGTTCATGTCCTCTGCCCAGTTTTTAATTGGGTTATTTGTCTTTTTCTTGTAAGGGTGTTGGCATTTCCTATATATTTTAGAAATGAGTCCCTTATCTGATATGTCATTGCAAAATATTTTTTCCCGTTCTGTGGGTTCCCTTTTTATTCTTTTGGTGAAGTCTTTTGATGCACATAAGTTTTTAATTTTTAGTATGTCCCACTCATCTATTTTGTCTATTTTTGTTTGTGTACTTTTAAAAATGTTTGGTAGTCTGTATATACCCTGAATTAGCACCTTCACATTTGTCCCTATTTTTTTCATTGATGACCTTCATAATTTTGGGATTCACATTTAGATCTTTAACCCATGATAAGTTCATTTTTCTATAAGGTATGAGGCAAAGGTCTTGTTTCAATCTTTTAAATATTGCTTTCCAGTTCTGCCAGCACCATTTGTTAAAGAGACAATCTCCTCCTCATGCAATATGCCTAGGCACTTTGTTGAAAATCATTTCACTGTATGTGGTTGGGTTAATTTCTGGATTCTCGATTCTGTTCCATTGATCAATGTAGATTCATTGTAGCAGTATCAAGCTGTTTTGACCACCGTAGCCATGTAGAAAATTTTGAAGCTGGGGAATGAAAGACCTCCACCCTTGATCTTCATTTTAAGCAGTGCTGTGCTTATCCTGGGTCTCTTTCCTTTCCATATATTGTCATTGCCATCTCTTTGAAGAATGTTGTTGGAATCTGGATTGGGATTGCATTGTATGTATAAATTGCTTTGGGCAGTACTGACATTTTCACGATGTTGAGTCTTCCTGTCCAGGAACATGGTATGTTCTTCCACTTCTGTAGGTCTCTTTTGGATTCTTCTAGTAGTATTTTGTAATTTTTTTTGTATAAGTCCTTTGTTTCTCTGGTGACATTTATTCCTAAATATTTCATCCTTTGTGCGGTTATTGTAAGTGCTATTGTTTTCCTAATATCATTTTCAGCACTATAGTTGCTATAGAGAAATCCAAATGATTTTTTTATGTTGATCTTATATCCTGCCACTTTGCCAAATCTTCCGATGAGGTCTAGTAACTTTTTAACTGAGTCTTTGGAGTTTTCTATGTATGGGATCATATCATCTGCAAATACGGATACTTTTACTTCCTAACTGCCAATTTGTTGTTGTTGTTGTTAGGTGCCACCGAGTTGGTACCAATGCATAGCAACCTTATGCACAACAGAACGAAACACTGCCTGATCCTGGGCCAACCTCACTATTGTTGCCATGCTTGAGTCCATCGATGGTGCCACTAGACCAATTGATCTCTTTAGGGGTCTTCCTCTTTTCCTCTGACCCTCCACCTTATCAAACATGATATCTTTCTCCAGGGACTGGTCCTTCCTGACAGTATTTCCAAGGTATGAGAGGCGAAGTTTGGCTATCTTGGCCTCTAAGGAGCATTGTGGCTGTACTTCTTCAAAAACAGATCTATTGGTACTCTTGTCAGCCCATGGTAATTTCAATATTCTCCT